CCATTTAACAATCGGTGAAATAATTTAAAATCAATGTAATGTAATTTTTAAGATAAAACAAGACTCATAGTAAAACATAGCTTTATGGGCCAGCAGCTCTGCAGCGTGACCTTGTTTAAAGCGGTGGCCTATAAAAACTTCAGCAGAGAGCGGTTTGAGGGGGGTGGGGGGGGCAACATCCCTAGCACTAAGGGGCTGTAGGGCAGTGCCCTCAGTTTAGAGCTGGGGAATTAACTCAGACTTGATAAATCGCTGCTGTGGTGAGGGCGCGTGCCTGCCTAGCCACCCTGCTGTCCCAGCCTCGGTAAGCGCACATTAACAGCACTTGCCCCACAACAAAAGAAGGAATTGGGTTATTTTGTAGTTGTGTGTGGGTATGGTGGTTAACATGCTGTGCTATGAACCCTGCGACCTGAGTTTGGTCCCCAAAATAATCATTGGCGTCGTTGTGGAGAATATAGATAACAAAATAGACCAGCAATCCATGTCTGCTTATATGTCTCTCAACAGAACAATTTAAGCATTTTGTTTCACAACCAATTATCCCAATGGCCTTTTAGGCGTTTTTATTTCCACTTATTGTGAACGTCAGTTGTAAATATTTTAACCAGTCCTGGGCCTCTCCTCGGTTGATTCGTCCTTCAATGAGTACCTGGCACGGTGTATAAAACATGAGCATTGCCGGCCAAACCACCCACTCGTGCGCCAAGCCGGCACTAAAGGGTGCTCGCTACCAGCACGTGCACCACAAGGCAGTGGGGGTATTTTTGTATGTGGCCGTGCGCACCGTGCGATGGTGCGCACGGCCACCTGCGTCCCTCCAGTGCTGATATTTTACACGTCAGGTATTCATTTAAGGTCAAGTTGACTGAGGAGAGACCAGTTTTGAGATACCCCCTGCTGCTGATGTTATTTATGTACTTCAGGTTGGGAAATTAAATGCAGGTCATGGGAATCGGAGGACAGTCTCAAAACCGTTGTGTCTCCATTCCCATACACAACGTCTGCAACGTTAAATATGAGGAATCTCTGTGAGTGTATGTGCCTGTGTGTATGTGTGTGTTGTGGGGAGCGGTAATGTAGCGGTTAGCGTGTTGCGCTATGAAACCGGGTGACCCGAGTTCGATTCCTGCCCACAGCCAACACCAGTGACAATTATCTGAGTCGGTCCTGGGCCTCCTCTAGGTCGATTCAGCCTCAAATGAATACCTAGTGCAGTGTGTAAGCATCGCCACTGGGGAGACAAAGGCGGTCGGGCGTGGTGCTGGCCACCCACCCCCTCGTGTGCTGTGCCGGCCTGCATAGGTGCTTGCTAACAAAACTTGCCCCAAAAGTCTGTAAAGGCTATACGGGGGATCTTTGTTTTTGTTTTGTTTGAGTACAGGGTCTGTTTGTAAGTCGATTTGTTCGTAAGTCCAACTTTATTCTTGTTAATTCCAAACATGTTGTACGGCATGTACACACGGGAAATGGCTTTAAAAGTTGTATAATCTCCTGCAGATGTAAATGCCACTGTTTTTTCACGTTCTGCAGGTGTAGACGCCACCACCGCCATCTATTGCGCGGCAGTTGAACTTACGACTCTCGGTCCGAACAGGCAACTGGAAATACTGACAGGTTTGTTCTTATCTCTGAAAGTTCGTAAGTCGAGTGTTCGTAAGTAGAGGAGTCTCTGTATAGGCATGGGAAGCGGAAGTGTAGTGGTCAGTGCACTTCGCTGCAACCCCGGCGACATGAGTTCGATTCCATCTCACTGCCAACATCGGTGACAAATGTCTAAAACGGTCCTGGTTCTCACCGAGGTTGACTCAGTCTTAAATTAATATCATGATTTGATGTGTATACATCAGCACGGGGGAGACAAAAGCGGCCGGGCTTGGTGTTGCTCACCCATGCCCTCATGCGCCGTGCCAGCCTTAATAGGTGTTCGCTAACAACACTTGCTCCAACAGTCTGTATGGCTATATGCGGGTCTCTGTGTGTGTGTGGAACAGTAACGCAGTGGGTTACACACCACTTCGTAATCCCTGCGACCTGGGTTTGATTCCTGGCCATAGCTAACCCCAGTGACAAGTGGTATCTGAAGTATTTAATGAGCATCTATTGTGGTGTGTAAACATCAACAATAGGGAGACAAAGACATCTATCGGGTGGTGGTTCATACCACACCGTCCCCTCCTCGTGCTCGCTAACAACACTTGCCCCAGCAGTGTAGGAGGCTACGTGGGGGATCTTTGTCCTTGTCTCAGTGAGTTTATAAGCGCGTGGCTGCCGGCAGCACGGTGGCCAGGAGATTAGCTCGGTCTACATATGGGTTGAATGTATTGGCTCTGTAAATATAATTCAACTGCGTCGAGATGTGAATGTCCTTCCATGATAAGGGCGGTGGATTTCTCCGGCTACTCCGTTACACAAACACTCCTTCATGATATTGGCCAAAAGTCTCACTGCGGCAGGGACAATTGCTCCCTGGCGTCATTTTTATGTCGGCAGGAAGTAAACTAATTAAAATTATGCATGCGTATTTAATAATACAAAAATGACAATACATTGTTTCTTAAAATGAGGCCCTTTGTATAAAAAATTTGCCCCTCCACGAATTTGTGTTAGCCGAGTGCACCGCAAGCAAGACCCTCCTGGAATAAAATATCTCTAGAGTCCCAGTGAGGTTTTGGTTGGTAAAAATAATAATTATAATAAAAGGTAAGGTGTAGCTCTGTGATGTCTTTCTCACTCAATTCCTGACGGCAGGGCCTCCACGAGAGCCAGCTCAATAGACCCCCTATAGAAGGTATTTGGCCTACTCTTCCATGCTGACCCGATATCTTGTCAGAGAAAAACATATAATTTGGAATACATATGTATGTTGAACTTCTTTGTATGTATGTTGAACTTCTTTTGCACCGTACGTAGCCAACAAACTAAACACACACACAAATATAATTATCGTGAATAATAAAACCTTGAAGAGAGGCCTGAGCAGAAGTGAGCTGCATGGAGCAGTGTCTGTTTTGGCAGGTGACAGGGAGAGGGTAGGGATAGAGTTGGGCTAGCCACACAAGTCACGTGATTTACGCAAAGCTGGAGCTGATGGAACTGTTTTTGTTTTGTTGCCTTGCCCAAGCTTGCATTGAATGTAGAAAAATTTGCAGGAATTAATGTACTTCTGCAAATTGTACTTGTATCCTTTATTTATGTTTATTTGTATTTTTGTCAAGTGACTTGCTTACCTTTCCTATACTTTGCACTCTGATCATTTTTTTGGTATTGTTTGTTGTTGTAACTTTCTTACCCGCCCCTATTGGACATCTGTAAAAAAAGACCTCCATACAGTTAGGGAAAACAGTATTTGATCCCCTGCTGATTTTGTACGTTTGCCCACTGACAAAGAAATGATCAGTCTATAATTTTAATGGTAGGTTTTTTTGAACAGTGAGAGACAGAATAACAACAAAATTCCAGAAAAACGCATGTCAAAAATGTTATAAATTGATTTGCATTTTAATGAGGGAAATAAGTATTTGACCCCTCTGCAAAACATGACTTAGTACTTGGTGGCAAAACCCTTGTTGGCAATCACAGAGATCAGACGTTTCTTGTAGTTGGCCGCCAGGTTTGCACACATCTCAGGAGGGATTTTGTCCCACTCCTCTTTGCAGATCTTCTCCAAGTCCTTAAGGTTTCGAGGCTGACGTTTGGCAACTCGAGCCTTCAGCTCCCTCCTCAGATTTTCTATGGGATTAAGGTCTGGAGACTGGCTAGGCCACTCCAGGACCTTAATGTGCTTCTTCTTGAGCCACTCCTTTGTTGCCTTGGCCGTGTGTTTTGGGTCATTGTCATGCTGGAATATCTATCCACGACCCATTTTCAATGCCCTGGCTAAGGGAAGGAGGTTCTCACCCAAGATTTGACGGTACATGGCCCCTTCCATTGTCCCTTTGATGCGGTGAAGTTGTCCTGTCCCCTTATCAGAAAAACACCCCCAAAGCATAATGTTTCCACCTCCATGTTTGACGGTGGGAATGGTGTTCTTGGGGTCATAGGCAGCATTTCTCCTCCTCCAAACACGGCGAGTTGAGTTGATGCCAAAGAGCTCCATTTTGGTCTAATCTGACCACAACACTTTCACCCAGTCATCTTCTGAATCATTCAGATGTTCATTGGCAAACTTCAGACGGGCATGTATATGTGATTTCTCGAGCAGGGGGACCTTGCGGGCGCTGCAGGATTTTAGTCCTTCACGGCGTAGTATGTTACCAATTGTTTTCTTGGTGACTATGGTCCCAGCTGCCTTGAGATCATTGACAAGATCCTCCCGTGTAGTGCTGGGCTGATTCCTCACCGTTCTCATGATCATTGTAACTCCACGAGGTGAGATATTGCATGGAGCCCAAGGCCGTGGGAGATTGACAGTTCTTTTGTGTTTCTTCCATTTGCGAATAATCGCACCAACTGTTGTCACCTTCTCACCAAGCTGCTTGGCAATGGTCTTGTAGCCCATTCCAGCCTTGTGTAGGTCTACAATCTTGTCCCTGACATCCTTGGAGAGCTCTTTCGTCTTGGCCATGGTGGAGAGTTTGGAATCTGATTGATTGATTGCTTCTGTGGACAGGTGTCTTTTATACAGGTAACAAGCTGAGATTAGGAGCACTCCCTTTAAGAGTGTGCTCCTAATCTCAGCTCGCTACCTCCTGGGAGCCAGACATCTTTCTGATTGAGAGGGGGTCAAATACTTATTTTCCTCATTAATATGCCAATCAATTTATAACATTTTTGACATGCGTTTTTCTGGATTTTGTTGTTGTTATTCTGTCTCTCACTGTTCAAATAAACCTACCATTAAAATTATATACTGATAATTTCTTTATCAGTGGGCAAACATACAAAATCAGCAGGAGATCAAATACTTTTTCCCCTCACTGTAGCTCATCAGCTTCCTCTAGGATTAATACTGATTCCGATGATCATATATCGTTTATATTACAGGTGTGTCCACGTACAGAGCATGGAGGCAGCGCGTGCTGTCGTGTATCGCGAGCGTGAGCGCAGGGGGTGCAGGATGCCCTGGAATCTCTCCACAGCGATGCAGGCCATGGTCAGCATGCTGGTGGTCACAGCTGTCACCTGGATGAACGGCACCAGCTTGCACAGAGCCACTCCTGCAAACAGAGAGATGGGAGGATGAGCGAGGCGGTCGAGGAGTGATGGTGGCTTCATCATCGCTCGGTCACAGAGCTGAGCTGAGCTAGGGCTCTTTTTGCTCATTCAAATATCCGTGGCCATAGCGCATTATGATCCAATGAGAAGTCGTGAAGCATGGGAACAGCGCAAAAGTTACCCAGACGACGCTGCTCTCTCTCAGTCTGCCTTGCCCCACAGTACACGCGAGTGCTTTCCTTCACATTTTTATGGTGAATTGCGTCCTGCATAATAGTAATGTATTTATTAATTAATTGATATTTGCACTTTTCAATGCGTTTATGTTCGCCCCTGGCAAGAACCTAGACTATTCTATTCATCCGATACAAGTGGCTAGAGAATACAAAAAGTTAAAAACAGATTAGCAGAGGCATACCACTCGGTAGATGGCGAGACATTTCGTACCAGACTCACAACCATGAGACATTGGAACCGGCTCCTGGTCGCCGAGAAAACCCTCAACATAAATGGACCCAAATCTGGTGGACCCCCAAGTCTGGCCCAAGACGCCTCCTTTTAAAAATTGCGGCGTCACGTTGGGACGAGGGTATAGTAAAAATGTGCTAGCGGGAATGGTCCATCTTGCCCTTCATGACGGGCTTTTGATGAGGTGGGATGAAGAGCTGCAACGGTATTGCATTGTGGTGCCCACTGTTCTGCGGGGTAAACTTACACAGGCTGCCCACGTGAAATTACCTTGGGGTACGTGAAAGTTTGCTGACACTGAAGCGTGACTTATTTTGGCCCGGGAATGACGGATGACGCGTACCACATGGTCAGGGGTTGCACTGACTGCACACGCCACGAGCCGCCGCCGATGTTGGTCCAGCCGCCGTTACAATCCATCACGGTGTCTCGTGTTACCGAGCTGATTTGCTCTGGACATCTTCGGGCCGTTTACCGCCACTCAGAGGGGAAATAAATTCCTCCTCGTCGGCGTGGAATAGCTGTCCCATTGGCCGGTGGCGTGGCCTCTGCCAGCTCAGTCGGCCACATCCATTGGCGGACGAATTTTTACACGGGTACGTTTTGGACAAAAGGGCCCCGGAACAATTCCTTACGGACCAGAGACGAAATTTTTCTTCGAAATTGTTAAAAGAGGTGTGCGATTCTCTGGGTACGAAACAAATCCGGACATCGCCCTACCATCCCCAGACAGACGGGATGGTTAAGCGCTTACACAGGACTTTTACGTCCATGTTGTGCCAACAGGTTAATGAGGAGAGAAGATCACAGTGGTGAGTATTACCTCCGTGTATGTTCGGTGGGGTTCTCCGGGTTCTCCAATTTCGTTCCACATGAAGTCATACGCTCATTAAATGCATTTCCAAACACATCTGAGTGTCGGACCCTCCTGTAGAAGAGTATTAAGACTCTGTGAGGCTTTCCTGGGTTAATAATTGGCAACGTTGTAAGTGTTATAACAGGGACAAAGCATGTTTTTAATTCTCACACACTGGGCGAATAGCACCGTGCAGAAGCCAACCGTGCTAATCGGAGGTGCAGAGAAAGGACACCAAACTACACGCAAAGAGCAGTTCTAAAGAAATGCGTTTTCAATTTAGATTTTAAAGTTCAATGGTGGTTAATGAACAGGAGGTGCCTGCACTCCTACCCCACATATTTTAATTTTACCAGGTAAGGCCCACAAAGCTCTATAGTTATTTTTCAGACGCGACCTGGCCACAAATGATCGCTCAACGAAGTGGCTCATCATGTGGACATTTATAGCAGTCAAATAATCTGAACGCGTGCTGATTCTAAATGTAGAGGGGAAAAATGCACACGACCACGGGGAGAGAACATGCAGACTTCAAATGTACAGGCGTCAGGGTCAGGATAGAATTCACGACCTCCTGTATACCAGGCGAGGGAGATAATATCACGCCACCATGGCGACCTGCCCGGCAGATGACACCAATAATCCTCACATTACCATGTCGAATAAACGAAAATATTGGCTTTATCCAGGTATCTATTGACAACCTAACTGCGTGTGAATTTTAAAGGTCAGATGACGTGCAGAGTCATGACTTAGGGTCTGTGTAGGAGGCGCCTCCAAGAATGCAGCTGGAAATAGGATGATGTTGTCCTCTTCCCAGCTGTATTCCAATGTTGTCCTGACAAGAATACATCCGGACTGTTGAACTCTCACTGCAGGTATCACACATGTTTGCAGCAGAGAATGGCGGCGGAAGATGACGACACAAAATGCTGCCGTCTCATTTCCTTAAATATTATTCTTACCTCGGCACGCACCTTTTATATGTCCCTGCAAAGAGTGTTCGATACACGCCAATCGAAACTAATATTTAATGTTAAGAATAATTTAAATTTGGACATATCACGGTTATTTCGCGCATCTGTTACTGACTGGGAAAAAGACTATCAACTAGTTACATTTGAGGGTCTTATTTAATCATTATAAGATTAAGAATGGGATTCACAATCAGATCTCAAGGGTACTGCCTCAGCGAACTGAAAGAAATCAGCCTCGTGAGCTACCTGGCAAATTTGTATGAAGTGATAATGTCATATTTTCCACGCGTGCTGTTCGCGAAATGAAACGCATCAAGGTGGATACGTATTTGCATACAGTTGCCTCTGTCTATTTACAGGGAGGCAATTGGTGTTCTCTCTTTGGTGACAATGACCATAATCTTCTATCAGTAGCAAGACAGTTATCCCGTAAAGTGACACTCATCTGCCATCAATACCAATACAAATACCCGCCATTCGCAACTAAATAACGGTGACGTCACCGTGGCGCCCGTGCCAGGCAAGGTACACTTTCAGGCCGCGTGAAGTGTCGAAGGCGCGCTGACAGGAGGTCTCAAGACAGACCCAGGTTCCATGGGTTGGCTGACTGAGATGTCTGGTAGATGCACCAGCTGTACCCCTACTGTGCCAACTTGCTGCATTCGAACCGCCCGGTGCCCTGCTCGTTGTTGTGAGCGTCGCTCTTCTGCTGTCCGTTGTTGCTGGATGGTGACTGCCTCCAACTGCCCAGTAGCGTCCTTCACGAGCCTCTTGACACCGCTGGTACTAGTTGTCGGCAAGTCCATTCAGCTCCACATCCTCCTGTACCGCATCAGTCCATCTCTTCTCCAGCCCATGTTGTGCCCATGAAGCCCCCTCTATGCGGCCAAACAGAAGCTGCTTGCGCATGCAGTGGCTGGGCATGAGGGCTATATGAACTATTCAACGCAGCCTTGCCTGCCGGAGGAGCTCACTGATGGGAATGTATCCAGCCTGATTGTAGGCATGCCAGCCTGAATGTTTCTAACCGGCGCAGATGTCCCATTAAAGGAGTCGACCCTTCACAAGTGTAATGACATGATGACACCTGCTGGTTGGTAAAGGGAAGCACGTGTACGGGCACCACTAAAACATCATACAATCCCAAAGGGAGAGGATTCTGAGCCAAGGGGTAGGGGCGGGGCTGGGCGAGATACTCCGGGAACCTGCGGGAAGGTTCCACGAGAGGGCGTGGCCAGAGGCGGAGCCTAGCCGCGCCTGTGGCAATACAAGCGGGGGCGGAGGAGGACTCTGGATCGATGTGTGGAGTCTTGGGTCCGGACTGCGTCGCTGCTCGCCGTCATCTCTCTCCGTCGTCCGGCCACGTGGCGGATCTCCTGCCGAGTTCCACCACCCTTACCAGCACGCCGTCAGCCAGCAGCATGGCCGGGAGTGGACGGGTGGAACCACGCCGGATGATCGACCATGTGTGTAGCCTGCAGGGACGCTAACATCTAAGTGTAGTACTCGGAAAAGGAAGAAGATAGAGTTGGCCTGTGTTGTGCCTGCGTGTGAAATTTAGAAGAGTACCCTCTACACGATGTGTCGCGGAAGTCGCTCATTACACAAGCATAGAGAAGGGAGGGCATGCCTGTGGCCGAGGAGACCTGAAGATTCGCGCAGAGCGACATACCAGGTAGCTTCAACACAGCATTACGCAGCCGATTGAATGATAATGCCGCCCGACCGATTCGGAGTGACACTTCTGGTGTCAAACCGGAGCTGGTCATAAGCACACTGCCCAGGTATGGGAAACTCTCCACTCTTTCCACAACTGCTCCATCACCAATGGGAAGCTGAGGTGGTGGAGTGTTTGGTGGCACAAAATACCCTGGCAGGTGCTTAGTTTTAGTGGGGCTGATGGTGAGACCCCACCGCTTAGTGGCACACTCCAGGTTCAGCAGCAACGCCTCCAACTCCTCCTCTCAGCGAGCAGCAATCAACAGATCATCAGCATACATTACATGGATGACCAAAATGGAGCCATCCCTTGACCGCACCCGGGAATCAATCAGCATCTCATTGTAGATGTTCCAAATGCAAATTCCTCTGGAACAGCCATCGAAGCCTTCACCAACTACGTGTTCGAAATAGATGTTAAATAATGTGTGAACCAGAGGACATCCCTGTCGCACCCCAATGTGAACAGGGAATGACTCTGACTCCCAGCCACGTAATTGTACCCGGGCCTGCCATCATGAAGGTCCTTAATGATTGTGAGGAGAGAGCCATGGACTCCGAAAGCCCGAATAACTGCCCACAGCCCTGCCCTGTTGATGGTTTCATAGGCCTTGACCAGTTCAATGAAGCAGAGATGTAGGTCTTGTTGGAATTCCCTACACTTCTGCTGTAGCAGACTGACAGAGAATATGGCATCCGTGCAGGACTGCCCTTGTCTGAAACCACATTGGGGCTTTGCAAGCCTCTCAGCGTGCCTGTCAAGCCGATGTTGAATAGTCCTTGCTAAGACCTTTTCCTCACAGTGAGAAAAGAGATGCTCCTATAGTTGTTACAATATGTGTGGTCCACTTCAAAAACAGCGTCATTACTCAGTACGGTTGTAAAATTGGCATGCAGACATGTAAATATGCTTTCATCCATCAGTTGGTTGAAATAGCTTTGTACGCTTTTCATGGATCTGTTGGATCGTGAGTGTCAAAATAGAATAATTGCTATTCTTGAAATGAATGAATCCCCCCACCCCCTTAGAAAAAAATGGTCAGAATTAAATATAGTACAGTATACATAAAGAAAGAGAGTGCAGACGACACAGGACAAATGCAATAGAAAGAACGAGATAGACAATACAGACGAGCCAGAACGAATGAGACAGACAAAGAGAACACACGAGAGAGAGAGAGAAACATATACAAGCCGGTGAAAATGAGCCGGACGGAACACGCTAGTCCATGGACAAGATCAGAATTGGCACCGCGTGAACTATAGCGGTTGTTCAAAGCGATGTGTATGGCCAATACATGTGGGTTATGGAATAACGTGCTAATAATAACGAGCAGTTTGTAATAATGCACACGTGTCAACAACACAGCCACGTTTGGCCATCTCAGGCAGTGCCTACGAGGGCATTATCCGACCTAAGGACATGGCTTAGTCCATGCACGCACGAAGAACATATTTGTTCCGTTCATCTCCCTCCATTGTTTGTCAGCTGTGATATCACAGGCCACGCTCAGTCACAGACAATTCAATCGATTGTAGGTTGTTCCTGGGAATTGCTCGATCTTAGTGAAACACGCCTGATTTTACTGAGACATGCCTGATCTTCAAAGGAGTATGACTGATGCGTTCATGAATGAGCTTCGATCTATATTGCGCTCTACCTCGGAACGAAACATCTCGGAGCAAATACCGCCCGCCGCCCGTTGATAGCTTTCTCAGCTATGGCATTCGACTGTCAATGTGGGGTGAAGATTGCCACGTGAGATATTTGTGGACAATCCATTCTTTCCGTGTGCAAAATTGAGCCGAGATTGAAATTGTAGAATGATGGGGGGGAAACTAGGAGAACCCAGAGGAAACCGATGAAGAATTGAGGGAGAACGTACAGAAAACAGAAAGGTGCTCTGGTCGGGAATGGAATCGAAGCCTTTATTTTACTCTGCTAGCCGATATTCATGAAATTCATGTCTATTTTTCAAGGATGCATTCATGAAGTTTCCTTGTGCAATTCTGATGTTCGTGGGGGGGATAATCTAGTATCGGTAAGATTCGTGTCCGATGTTCATGAGGTTCATGTCTAATGTTCACGATGTTCGTGTCTAATGTTCCCGGTTCACGTCTGATCCTCGGGAGGCTCATATCTGATGTGTTTTGGTCGCATCCAATGTCCCTGGGGAATGTATTTTATTCCCAGGGGGGTTATGACTGCTGCTCCCCAGGGCAAGTAGAGGTTCTGTAATAGGGACAACGGCATCTCTACAGCAGTAGAGAATGCATGCGCATGTGGGGAATTGTAAATACTCAGTTGCCCGGGGTTGTGCTTCACGCGACAACCGTGAAAGCATTTAACAGCAGCGGAAGCGTTCTCCGTGGCACCATCTCGGAAGAAGTGGATAATTACTCGTGTCCAAAGTACAAGAGAGATTTAAAAAAAAAAAATCCAGTAGTGGTGGTGGTGGTGGGGGAGAGGAGGAGGCTAGTGGTGGGAATGAGTCCCAAGAACGTCCCTGTTTACCCTTACTGTGAAAGTGACGGTTCGCAGGATAAAACGTCAGTTGTGTGACGGTTAGAATGTGAGCCTAAACATGATGTATGTTGAAATTATTTTTTTAAAAAACATTACAAATACACAAATTCTAATTTTCAAACGGTAATTTACCACCCTTTGTCAATACACTGTTGGATGAAGGCCACCCCACGCCGAGTCGGCCTTGGGGGGTTGTTTGACCATACTTCAGCACATTTTTCAGTACAAAGGGCGTGCGCGGTGAACTGATACGTTAGCAATCGCCATATTCGAATTTCGGTCGTGAAGCTTAGAACACACTACGCCAACCAGAACATTTTATATTCGTTTACTATTCAAATATTATTGTCATAAAATATTAAAGTAGCGTTAAAGCCCACATTATACGAGCGCTAGTATATGCAGCGCACGTCTGCAATCCACCACTGTGGAACTTAGGGTTGAAAGATCATGTTGATTTGAATAATTGATAAAGCAGCTGAACTGCAGGGTGGCCAGGAGATGTCAGTAGAGCCGATGCGTTCGTGAACTCGTATCTGCACGCCTGTAAATGTTTATTATTCATTACACTTATTTACTAAGGAAAGCCTCATTCAGGAGGGTCCTGCCAAGTTTATGCAGCAGAGGTGGGGGAGGGGAGAGGCGATAAATGCATATATACCAATTACTGGCGAAACGTCGTACTCAGATTGTAAATGTTGTGGCTTGGCTCTCCAACACACCGGTGTGCTGCACTAGTGACGAATTGGCCACGTTCTGTTTACGTGACAACCCTTACTAGTTGGCTGTGTCGGATGGTGGCGGGTTTTAACGACACATTTATATGTTTACGCGATCTAACCCCCAAAACACCCCTCTATTATGGATGATATTGAAAGCCTGCGTGTTAAACCGATATTCAAATTGAGTAATTTGGGGGTCATTTTTCCAAATTAGAAAATTTGGATCACGAGGCAGGGCACACAAAGGCCTACTTTTGCGAGAGACGTCACGGCATCTTTAACATCCACTGTGAAGTAAATAGCGCGTATTTTTACGGCCTTTACACCCGTATAATTATTCAGGGCGGTCGCCAGATTCAACATGCAAATCTCCGCAACAATTGCGAACGTGTTATCGCTACACCATGTAATCGCCCCATGAGCATTATCTGGATAATTGCATTGTAGCAGGGACCCTACTAATGAAAAGTATTGAGACTTAGCGATGCTTTGATGAACGCACGACATCGTTGCTCGTGAAAACACAGCTTGTGCAACGCGGAGTGCGATAGTTACCTGCGATCCAGTTGGAGAAAAAGTTCTGCATGAGCGTGATGGGGATGCAGAAGACGGTGATCATCAAGTCGCTGACGGCCAGCGAGCACACGAACACGTTGGCCACGGTGTGTAGAGCCTTGCGCCGAGCCACCACGAAGATGACCAGCGCGTTGCCGGAGAGAGCCAGCGTGAAGACCAAGGCGCCCACCACGGCGAACGCCAGACGGAGCGGCTGCGGCAGGTGAGGCACGTACACCATTGGCGGTAGATGGTACGCTCTGATGAACTCCTCTCGAGTCATGTTGTTGGCCAGCAGCAATCGCTCCAGCAGTTGCGCGGTGATGTTCATGATCGCGTGCCCAGGGAACCCGGTCCTCCCTGGCCTCTGCAAGACGTCGTCACTCGCTATTATAGCTACCTGTGGGGTGGGGGTGGGCGGCAGCGCACACGGATTGGAAAGTGGAGGTGGTGACGCGGCGCGACACGAAGGCGATCGGGGAGAGCGAGGAAGATTTCAGCACCGAGAAAGGCTCACCCCAACCCCTGAGCCGACAATATGCACCCCACCCCTCCCATCTCTTGCAGCGGTGGCGCCACATCGTGGAGCCAACGAAAACGATTTGGGAGTAGGGTTTTCTGCCAAAAGTGCCCGTGGGCTATGATCATTGAGTTCCTGTAGAGTCTTCATGAAACGACTATGAGACCCGCCTGTTACGTTCCACTTCTCGTGTTTTTTCAGCATATCGCCGCTTCCTTTAAATTGGGCGCTCCATTCGAGCGCGAATGTTCCGCCTTTGGCGCCGCTGATACATTCAGAGTCGCCTCGAGAACGTGGTAACGACTGAGCCTGAACGCTCAGCACCACGGACAGCGACGTGCGGAAATGTATTGCGCAGTGGATTTTTATTATTATATATTGCCGACCGCGTACTCGCTTCTGAGATCAGATTCAGAATCTTTACATATCCTGGACAAATACGATATTCCATTAAGGTCTTGTTCATTGATATCGAGTCGGGGCGGTTCAAAAAGTTACAACAACAAACAATACAAAAACGTGCTCTCTGGTTATTTCGGTAAAGTCACGTAGATAGAAAAAATAACGTGACTTTACCGAAAGAACCAGAGGGTATGGATTCCTGCAGTCACGAAAGCTTCAAATCAAGACTGAATACAAAAACGATCCGAGTGCAAAGTATAGGAAACGTAAGCAAAGCACGATAAATAAATACAACTAAACTATATATTTTTTATTTTACCAGGTAAGGTCCACTGAGCTATATAGCTCTTTTTCAGAAGCAACCTGGCCACAAATGATGGCTCAACGAAGTGACTTATCATGTGGAAACGTATAGCGGCCAAATACTCTAAACGCGTGTTTTATAAACGTGGAGGGAAAATACGGAAAAACCCGGAGAAAAAAATCCACGCTAGCACGGGGAGAACATGCAAGCTCCAAATAAACAGGCGACAGGGTCGGGATCGAACCCAGGGCCCTCTGCACACCAGGCGAGGGAGATAACATCACGCCAACGTGGCGCCACTTGAATAAAGACAAATAAAGTATATTCTTAGCTCTTTCGGTAAAGTCACGTTGAAGGGAAACAATAAAATAATAAAATATATATAAAACAATAAAAATTCTCACGACGTTTCGACCATAACACAAAACGGCCGTCATCAGGTGTGAAAAAAAACGTCGTGAGAAGTTTTATTGTTTCAAATATATTTTATTGTTTCCCTTCTAAGTGACTTTACCGAAAGAGCTAAGAATATGAATTACTGCAGTCACGAAAGCTTTAAATAAAAAAAAAATAAAGTATATAAGTTAAAATTGCAAAAGTACACGTTAAGAGCTAGTCTTGGCATTTGAACAAACTCGCGGAACAAAACATATTATTGTAGTAAGTACACTTCATTTTAAAAGGCACGAAGGGCAAGACAAATATTGTCCACCTTTACATGATTATTCTCGCGTACCTCTTGACGAGAGCTCACGTAGCCACAGGGGTTCGCGTCCCACAGTTTGAAAGCCGCCGGCTGGTATAGTGTATACAAAACAGCATGGGGTTATACGATATGTAGAAGCTAGTCTATACAAAGTACAGACGTCAACAAACGGAGAAGGGTACTACACTTCATTTGAAAATTAATGATTGCAGGTCATGATAACTCGAGGTCAAGGTAAGTTTATATTCTCTACACACATACAACTTGGGAAATCGTGTGTGTAACAAGATGCGTGTACAGCCTGGTTCCCTCCATAGTCAATAAAGTACTGTTCATTAAGATGTTCACAGTGGTCGCCTCATGAACACAATGGTTCAAGGGTATACATCTGTAACTTCCACCGATTTCCCAGGTGAGCTAACGGGTGGTGAGCATCGCTTCAATCTAATTTGAGCATGGACTTTGCATTATGTGCATGAAACACTCTATACAACGATTTGGCTTGAACCGAGCATCAGTGGCACATGATAGGTGGAGTCTGGAAATATTGTTAGTAAACAAACCTAAGATTGTGTATCTTGTACATAGCGTTAACTCCTCCCGCGTCTTGTTATTCCCTGCATTAAACGGTACTTACCCTCCAGTATAAAGCAATACACACAAATACAATAAATTGCCTAATGTGATAAACAAACGCGTTAACAGGCCACTTTATTAATTCTTGTCTTAAAGCTTTCGTGACTGCAGGAATTCATGTTCTTTGGGTCTTTCGGTAATATCACGTAGATATGTTCAAAAAATAATAAAATAAGCAAAAAACTACGACGTTTCGATCGCAACACAAGCGATCGTCATCAGGTGGAAAAAGGGGAACGTTCGCTTGCGTTGCGATCGAAACGTCGTAGTTTTTTTCGTTTAGTTGATTATTCTTTGAACCTATCTACGTGACTTCACCGAAAGACCCAAAGAATGGGCCACTTTATTGAATCGTATTTCTAGGTTGTTGTCGTTGTCGACCGCACTATTTTACATCACACTATTTAAGCTGAATTATTGAGATGTATTATGTTCCGACAAAACCAGAAAACAACGGAACACTGTCACGTGAATATCTCAATGCAAATGGAGCATTGGTTTGACAGTATCCTGCATGCGTCCCTGTGAGCATTGTCGGCTGTTGAACCGACGGGAGAACAGAGATTACCAAATGTGTTCATGCGGAACGTGGCGAGACAAGCAATCTGAAGTCGCGTGAACCCCGACACACGGCTGCAACAAAGGTGCACCAAAAGAGTCACAATGCGTTTCGCCAACGAGCACATGACCCGTGTCTTTGTTGAAGGCCGCACAAGAGCTCTTGAATAACTTTTACATTCATGGTTAGAGATGCGACGAAGCCATTGCGTCTCACGTACAGATAAAATGGCATATCCCTTGTTTCCATAGGAACTTGTTGCAATGCTTTCAACGGGTTTGAATCATTCCAGCGGCAAAAAACACTCTTGTTATGGTACATTTTGTTTCCAATTTATATATTGCTGGGATAACGCGGGTTCAGTGGGTACACCATTATTACGCTTTTAAAGCTCTAGACTAATGCACCAGGATGCAAGTAGCTGTAAATTCCCTAACCATAACAATAATCGTAAACATATAATAGCAACAAGCTTGCGACATCACAAAGTGTCATTGGTTGAGAGGTTTGTCATCATTTGAGTGTTTCTAATCTGTAGCAGACTGTCTACAATTAAATATGAATGTCACTTATTATTCTGGCTGACGTAGGTGTAGAGCAAAAACGAAAATGTTATTTTAAGGCAGTTGAGTCAGACAGATAAAGTATTTGCATCAGGAGTATATAGAAGAGCGTATCGCTGTGATGATGTCTCCTTCGTATTTGTGAATCCGGCAAAGAGTCATCATATATTTCATGGTCTGTTCTGGGTGACCACAGTCGCACACCAGAGAATATGGCACAATTACCGAAGCAGGACCGATTTTTGCATAGCAATGTAAAAGCACAATTGACTGAAGCTTAATTAACATCTTCATAATATATGTAAGGACATCAATGAGCCGTTCTAGGGCGATAGTGGGTGTACTATACATAAGGGCTCACTAGAGGGCAGATCCAGATGTCACGGAGGTCGGGTCAGGACATGACAGTCTGGGTGAACCCGCGAGAGCACGTGACCGGACGTTGGGGGGGCACGGGGACCCCCAGAAGGGGGCAAGCGGGCCACGTGATGTGGACCCAGAGTCTCCGCGAAGGCTCGAGAAGGGGGGCGTGACCAGGGGTGGAGCCCGGGTCACGCCTCAGAAGATATAAGCCGAGTCCTGAGAGGGAGCGTGACTGCTCAACACGGGAAAGAAGTCTCCTTCTTCGATCCTCGCTCTTCGGTCGCCGCACGCGACGAGCCGACGACGTGTTGGCTGTTCTGGTTCAACCACATAGAGATTCCGTTCAAGTGGTTAGGTGGTTAGGGATGGTGGTCACCACTTTACGCAGTTAACCCGTGATGTACATAGTCGCTCGGAATGTACATAGTTAACCTTGGAACGTTGAGTAGTGTTGGTTGTGTTAGTAAATAAACGTGTTGCCTTCAAGTCTTGGTGTGCGCCTGATTAGAACCCACTACATATGTACACTGGCTCCCGGCCATGGCAAATTGGGGCTTGAATAATGTCTGATGTTCATCTTCCAATTTTTTAAACTTGCATTTTTTTCATGACGCTGTGTTTGAAGTGATTCTGGGTACCTAAATGTGTCCCAAACTTATTTCTCATCTCGTGTTTTTTTGTCTTTTCCCCCACGTCATTTCCCACCTCACTCACATGGCCAAAGCGAAACCGAGTCTGATGGTATCAGACTCGGAAGACAGACAGCGTCAATTTTCTAAAACCACCACTCACGCGTAACAACAGCAACATTTTCTTGGTTCTTTCGGTAAAGTCACGTAGAAGGGAAATAATAAAATAAAATAAATACAAAACATAAAATAAAAGTATCACGACGTTTCGGCCACAACACAAGTAGCCGTCCTCAGGTGAAGAAACAGAACTGTCGGAAAGACAGCGCTCCAATGAACACTTTACCGAAAGAACCAAGAAGATGAATCCCTGCAGTCACGAAAGCTTAAAATAGAAATGAACGGCAACATTTTCACGCTGGACCATGAAAATGGAACACAATGGTCTACTAGAGCAAATGATGTCGGTGTGACCAGGCTCCGCTGGCAGTGCGTTCGCGGTGACATATAACGCCTTTATCAAGGACAATTTTTCCGCCGCCGCCGCTCACTGCCATAAACAATCACTTCGCCCCGAGAACACAAACATCACAATGGCAGCTACACAAAGGTGCATTTTGTCTTTCACATAAAATGTGAAGCGATTGAATGAACGTATGCATGTTGAACCTTTTTCCCACCGTACGTAGCTAACCGCGCTAATCGGAGGTGCGGGGGTGAATGTTTGACTGCGCGTATATTTATGGATGCATGCATGTCCGTTTGTGCAGGCTTCGAGTTATAACTGCAACATTGGGGTAAGCCTCCTTCTAAATAGTAATGTGTGTTGTACGCTAATGCAAAAACGTTGTGTCTTTTTGTCATCGTGCATTCCGAAAATAATGTTTGTTCTCGCTTGAATGTTCCGTGAAATTATTTCATGTTGGGAAAATCGGCTTGGATAATATATGTCTACTACTGAGTGAAGTAATAGGAAAATTATACATTTGTTGTTATTGGGAAGTACAGTTAAGGGAAGTGACGTGGAAATAGACCATCACAACATAATGTTGCTCTGTATTTCCTTCGGGGCATCTGGTGACATTTTGGTGTCACACGTGGCTCAATTCTGC